CAGTCACAGCCCGTAACAGAACAGAACGAAATGTTCCCTCTCTAATGGCCTGCAGGTCCATAGCTCCTGCTACAGATATGCTAATTACCTAGAGGAATTAGTAGCCTCCTTGTCAGCGAGGTGGGAACTGTTTTTCAAAAATATACAGGAGTCTCATATTTTACACCCTTCCTTGGATACCTTTCCACGGCTACCTGGCGAGGGACAGCACCCACAGCTAGTCCCTCCTTCCTTCCCTTAACGACAAACGGTGTCTGGGTTCCAGATGCTCTTAAAATGGATCTGAGAATTAGTTTCCCCACCTTCTCAATCAATAAACCTGTCTGTCCTTGCTCCAAACTCTGATCCACTGAATATCGGCATTTCTTTTGAAGCCCCGGACATACCATCCTGGGCCTGTAACAGCCTCTCCCTCACCTTCCTTCCACACCCCTACAAAGTCCCCATCTCCTGAATGAACAGGGAAAGGAGAGATGTTGCTCCTGGAAACTTGTCATTGCCTGTGAGCCTGTGGAGGCTGAGAACTACAGAATGATTTTGTGAATCGGAAAACGAAGACAAGGACAGATTCTGGAAACACCGCCTTTATGGGGCAGAAGGTATTACGACAACTTTTAAAGAAACAGGCAAACTTTTAGGCAATTTCATTTGAGAAAAAACAAAATGAACACTTTTCAAAATATTCCATGGCTTCAGAAACCAGGTCACTGATGGAATTAGAGGGGAGATTAAGTACGGGAGGGACGCGGGGGGGGGGGGGGGGGGGGGGTAAAAACTCAGAAGACGGCGGTCTGAGAGGAAGACGGGAAACGTCATCAGGGGCCAGCCACTTCCGGCCGCCACCTACCGGATTGGAAAGCCGACACTGTGCCGGACAGTGTACGAAGAGCCGGCTACGTTGTGCCCTCTGACCTGGATGAGAAAGGCCATCAGCTTTGCGGGGAGGGGAGGGAGGAGCCAACAGTGCGTCGTAGGCCTTAAGGGCACAGCCCAGCCCTCCCTTTGGCGCTGACGACGCTGGACCTAGACCAGTGCGCTGGTGAGCGTGTCGCACTCCACGGGTGAGCGGCGCTCCAGGAAGGCACCAGAATCTGGGCTGAACGAAGCGGGGGCGACCAACGTGGGGTGCGGACTAGAGTGAGCCGGCACGGACGCTTCACCGAGGTGGGCAAAGAAGGTATTGGAGGGGGATTGGCCGGGTCGGAGCGGTTTGCGAGGCTGCAGGGAGGCCAGAGGTACTCACTGGATATTTTGGAACAGATACTCTGGAACAGATATTCTGGAACAGATATTCTGGCAGTAGAGGATATTCTGGCAGTAGAGGATATTCTGGCAGTAGAGGATATTCTGGCGTCAGTAGGTTCAGAGGAGCAGGCCGTGGGCAGGGGCTGGTGGGGGGAGGGGGGGAGGGGAGGGGGGAGGGGAAATTCCAACTATGGGTGTGGAGGTGACCGGAGCTCCTGGTCAGGGCCTGCTGTGTGCTAGGCCCTCTTCTCATGGCTGTTCCATTTTCTTTCTCAATGTACCCCCTATTTAAGCTTTTATATGTGTGTATGTGATTACTTAATTGAAGATTAAATATTTACTGATATTTTAATAGGTGCATATATTTCCTTTTTATTCTGCAACAAACTGTGGAATTTGGTGAAAGCATAATGTTTTCAGTGTTCCAAGGACTTGAGTGAATTTCTGTATTAAAAATATTTTGACAGTGTTGAGAAAAATCAGCAGACCGACACTTAAACCGTCCAAATAAGGATGACCGTTCACATAAGGAACTGGCAGTGAGGGGGAATCTGAAACTGTCTACCTAACAATAGAGTCAAACCCCACACCATCAAAACCCACAAGACTGGCCCCACTGCAGAAGCCAGTCCAAAGTCCAGGTTGTTTCTTGTACTTCTGATCCACCAGCTATAAATTAGAGATCCCTATGATCCCCTCTTTCGGTTCCATTAATTTGATAGCGGGGCTCACAGAACTCAAGCGTTTACCTAGGTTTACCACCTTTGTTATAAAGGGTACAGTGACAAGCCAGATGAAGAGGCACAAACGGAGGGATCTGGAAGTGCACTGAGGGCAGAACCTTCTGTCTCTGTGAAACTGGAGTGTGTGCCACCCTCCCAGCATTTGGATGTGCTCCCCAACGCAGAAACTCCTCAAATCTCCAAAAATAGTTTTTACTGTTTTCACAGAACTTAATCTCCAGCCCCCAGAATTCGGTGGGTTGAGCTGAAAGTTCTAAACTTACCAACAATTGGTGACCAGGCTACCGTGTGTCCATTTTGACCCATGTCGTCACATCATTAGTATAAACTCAGATGTGCTCAAAGAGGGCTCCTAATAACTACTAAAATATACTACTCTCAATCAGAAAAATCAAGGATTTTAGGACCTCTGTGCCAGGAATTAGGGACAAAGATCAAGTATATTTCTTGTTACACCACAGAATAAAATTGGAAATACTAAGAAATTCTTAAGTTTTGTGTCACACATATTCTTATTATTTAAAACCAGATGTTCCAAGAGGTTTATTTAAATTTATGTGTATGCTGACACCAAACTGAAAGGGAAGGTGAATATATTTGTTCTCGTTCCACCTGTCCCTGACAGAATGGGTGATCAAAGAATCCATACCTAATGACACTTGGTGGTCTGAGGTCAGACCTGGAATACAACCCACATAATATAGAAGCAGATGGAATTTTAATTCCTGACTTGGTCTTCCCTCAATCTCAGTTTCTCTCAATTTGGGAGATTTGTTGAGTGTGGACATGAAGTGGGAACAAGGAAGAAGAAGATGGTTTGGAGTGGAGGAGAAAGGTGACCAGTTTGAAACAACTGTGAGGAAGAAAAAAGATCTGAGAACTTTGAGATGAAGGGGAGAAAGATGAGGCTTATAGAAGGGGACAAAGAAACTGCTTGGCTAGAATAGACCACAGAGAATCTCTGAAATAGAATTCAAAAACTAAATCTTTTGGGGGAAATTTTTTTTAAAGATTTTATTTATTCATTTTTAGAGAGAGGGAAAGGGAAGGAAAAAGACAGGGAGAGAAACATCAATCAGCCACCTCTCACAAGCCCGCTACTGGGGCCTGGCCCAAAACCCAGGCATGTGCCCTGACTAGAAACGAACCGGCAACCTTTTGGTTTGCAGGAAAGGCCCAACCCACGGAGCCACACCCCTGAGGGCAAAAAAACCAAAAAAAAACCCACAAAAAAAATCCTTTTTTTAATCAAAGAATATTTTAGGTACCCATAATGGGAGAGAGAATATTATACTGAACCCAGGTATGAAGAACCCAGAGGCTATAATTATAAACTTTTTGCCACTTCTTACCTATAGTCCTACCAAGTTCTTGCCATTTTTGTGAAACAAATCCAAAGACATCATAGGATTTCACTTGTAAAATTTTTATTATACTTTCTAAAAGAGACTATTTACAAACTTCTAATATCATTCATTAACTCAATCTAACATAATTGTCATTAATTTTTTTATCCACAGATATCCAACGTCCATGTTCAATTTTGAGCAAGTATTTCAAGATGGAATATAATTAGGTTTATACATTGTAATTGGTTAGTATGTACTTTATATCTACTTTAATTCCTGTATTCTTCCTCCATGGGCTTTTTAAATTTTCTTTTTACTTTTGTGCCTAAGAAACATGGTCGAATTCTCAGTAGAGTTTATCACAGTCTGTATTTTACTAATTACTTGCTTAGTGTAGTATAGGTTTACCAGAGAAGACAAATAGTATGTCTCTAGAAAGAGATTTATTTAAAAGTATTGGCTCACAAGGTTATGGAGACAAAGAAGACCCATGATCTTCAGTCTGCAAGTAGGAGACAGGAAAGATGGTGATGAAGTTGAAAGGCCTGACAGTCTGAGAATAGATGGTACAGATTCTAGTCTGGGTCTGAAGGGCTGAGACCCAGGAGCACCCAGGATAGGAGGTGGATATGCAAGCTTATTCAGCCCAGCACAGAGTGAATTTAATGTTCCCCCTAGTTTTGTTCCCTTCAGGCCCTCAGTGGAGTGGATGATACCCACTGACATTGAGGAGGGCCTTCTCTCATATTCATCTACCAATTTAAATAATAGTCTCTCCCAGAAATCCTCTCACAGCCAGAACTAGTGTTTACCAGCTATCTGGGACTTGCAGTGGCCCAATCAAGTTGACACATAAAATTAACCAGATTGTCCTTCACATGTTTTTCCATCCCTTATATTTTCTGTAAATATGTTGTTAGGCCTCTGTTTCATGAGATTTATGTTCATTTTCTGATATCCCTTCAACAGTTCTGATATCTATCACTATTTTTGTGATGGTTGAGGCCAGTGATAAATTTGCCTAAGTTGATTAATTCTTTCTGAGTTGCAAATTAGATGATAGTCTTCATTGCTAATTCCTCCTCCTAAAATATTGTCATGATATGATTTAGTCTACATGAGGTATTTTTTTTTGTTGTAATTTTTCAATTTTTTATTGATTTTAGAGAGGGAGAGAGAGAGAGAAAGAGGTCAATTTGTTGTTTCTCTTATTTATGCATTCATTGGTTGATTCTTGTTTGTTCCCTGACCAGGGATCAAACCCACAACTTTGGTGTACCTGGATGATGCTCTAACCAACTGAGCTACCCAGCCAGGGCTCTGAGGTACTTACCAAACAGTGATGAAAGGATTAATGCTTATTTAACTGTCCTTTAAATTATAATGTTTTTTGTCCACAGAAACCACATATGACTTGGGTTATGCTAGGTTTTTAACCACGAGGAGTCCACAGATAATATACAATTGGAAGAAAGGCATTTACTACAGGAGAGGGTGACAGGAAGGCTGGACCTCTGCTGCTGGCTCTAACTCTTCTTGGAAGCCCCTGCTGCCTTCCACAGAGAGCAAGGACTGAGCAGACATCAACTTCTCTCTTTCCCCAGCTCCCAGGGGATCGCACTGACTGCTGAGAGTCTCTTCAGACAGAAACCTGCCCTGCACAATGGCCTTTGCAGCCTCCCTCATCGAGCTCCAAGCAGAGGCCAGCTGCCCCATCTGCCTGGATTACATGAAAGACCCAGTGACCATTGAGTGTGGACACAACTTCTGTCGCTCCTGTATCGACCAGCGCTGGGAAGATCTCAAGGACATTTTTCCCTGTCCTGTCTGCCTCCACCACTGCCCTCGCAAGAACTTCAGGAGGAACACTCAGTTGTGTCACATAACTGATATTCTTAAGAAGATTCCCACCACAGGGAGCCAGAGGGAATTGAAGGAGGAAAAACCCCTGTGTGTGAAGCACCATGAGGTTCTGAACCTGTTCTGTGAAGAGGACCTGGAGCTGTTGTGTGCCCAGTGCAGGGTCTCGTCAGACTACCAGGATCGGTCCCTGCTACCCATTGAGGAAGTTGCAGCTGGTTACAGAAAGAGGCTCAAAAATTATTTTGAGGCCCTGACAGTGGAGGTTGAAGATGCTGAAACGGAATTTGAAAACCAAGTGGCAAAAATTTTTGAAGTGCAGAAAAGGATGGAAAATTGCAGGAGAGAATTACTCTATGAATGTAAAGAATTCAAGTGTTCCTTGAAAATAGAGCAAGATGAAATTAATACCAGTCTACTTATGGAAGAGAGGGATGTTAAAGAAAAACTAATTGAAAATAGAGGGCAAATTTCAAACCATATGTTCATATTACATAATCTGTTAAGTGAAATAGCAGAGAAGTATTTCCAGGTAGACCTGGATTTACTCACAGGTATTAAAAGTATCCATAAGAGGTATGAAAATTTAGCAACTCCACCAGTCTTTTCATATGAATTAAAGAATGAGATCTGCATTCTTCCTCCACATTATTTTGGCCTGTATAAAATGATCAGCACATTTCAGGTAGATTTGACACTGGATCCTGAAACTGCCCATCCAAGTCTCATTATCTCAAGAGACAGAAAAAGTGTGACATATAAGACACCAAATGGTCTTCAGGATCCCCAGGCACTTACTTCTTACCCAGCCGTCCTCAGTTCTGAGGGATTTGATGCTGGCAGGCATTTTTGGCAAGTAGACATAGGAGGCACAGGTGAATGGTCTTTAGGTGTATGTAAAGAATCTTCCCCAAGAAATGCTTTTATATCACTATCCCCAAACAGTAGCTGCTGGCACATTGAGCTTTGCGCCAGTGTATGTGGAACATGCCCTAGAGGACATGTCATGCAAGTTGGTGTTTTTCTGGACTATGAGTTGGGAGAGATTTCATTTTATAATATGTATAACAGGTCCTATTTGTATAAATTCACTGATACATTTACAGAAAAACTTATGCCTTACTTCTCGAGTGCACCTTCTTCAAAATCTCTTACAATTAGTATCATCAGAGACAAATGATGAAAACCTTGGAGGATAATTTTATGTAAGATTTTTTTCCTTTAGTAGAAGGAATATTTACAAAGAAGATGCCAATCTTGATTTTTGACTGTTGAAAACTTTGGGACTCAGCCTTCTCTCCTCTTCTTACCTCATACTTGGAAAACTAATGAGAAAGCCCAGGTGCTGCATCCTTTGGTGCAGGTGGGAAGTTCCAACCAAGCAAGCCTCTAGCAGTGCCAGCACCCTCCCACCCACCGCCAGCACCCAGTAACTTGCCATAAACACTACAAGCTAGTCCCTTTTTCCTGCACTCTCAGTCATTTTGGATTCTACTCAGCTCATCGCTACTGTCCCTGCAAAACCTATTTACGTGAGTATTAATCCTTTTATACCCTTCTGGTATGTGGTGAGTCATCATCAGTCTTAACATTTGAAGCAAATTTTGGATGGATTCCCCGCTGGCTATGCAACCTGCTCACCACCATTGGCATTGTGAATAGGATTACCCAGATGTGAAGCGCCTCTAGCAGGGGGGTCCTCCTCTGGCTTTGTGTTATAACAGGCTCTGTTTCCTTAGGCAAGGGTGCCCTTTCAGCTTTCTGCTGCATTGGCTGAGATGTCCCAAGGCTGTGCTGCATGTTTATAACAGTAATTCTTAAAAGTCTAAAATCTGGAAAAGGATCACATTGAACTTATATTTTATTATTTTTCATATAATTTTTTGGGAATTCTAATTTTGCTTTTGTTTCATATTTCACAAAATTGTTTTCATAAATAACCTCAAAACGTCACATCTCATGTTTAACATTAAGTGTAACTGTGGACATTTTAGAACATGCCTCTGTTTAGATAGAAGGCTGTATGTGTATCGTATGTAGTGTTAAGAAATAAAGTTTTACTTTGTAAATCTCTATACTTTGTCTGTCTTCGTAATTGGAAAAGATGCTCAGCACAGCTTTCATTGAGGTACAAGGGACCCCTGCACTGATCAGAGTAGCCATGCCATGCTGTGGTAATCTCAGTTGCTTAACAAGAACAAAACTAGTACTTATTCATGGAAAGTGCAATGTGGGGCACTGCTGCATTACCTACTCAGAAATCTAATGTCATCAGTCATGAGTCATCACAGCACCAGCTCACTAAAACTAGGCAAAGAGGGAGCATTAAAGGGACACACGGAGCCTTGAAGGCCAACACCAGGAAGAGACATTCTTTTTCTCCATTTTCTGAAAGTAATTGCAAGGCTCTATCTGCAAGGGGTGTGGAAGAATGCATGTATTGTGAGGTGGAAAGCTACTGTTTGCCGTCATTCCTGAATCCAATTAGACAGTGAAATTTCCATTAATGATGAGTCTAAGAATTAAAAGTCTTCAATTATAACTTGGAAGTAGATCTAACAGACATTTGCAATATATAATCCTACAGTGATTGTTAAGTAACTTCCCACAATAAAGAAGATACTTCCTTTAAATAAACCTTAGAACATTCTTTGGTAGAATAATTATTCTGAAATTTTGGTAATTCATTAGAAAATGAATCATTGAGACTAATGTCTAAACTCACTGGGATGAGCCCTGGCTGTGTGGCTCAGTGGATCTAGTGCTGACCTGCAATCAGTAAGGTTGCTGTTTTCATTCCTAATCAGGATACATGCCTGGGTCCCTGGCCTGTGCCCAGGTCCCCACATGGGGGCAGGCAAGAGCCATGTGATTGATGTTTCTCTTGCACATGGATGTTTCCCTTTCTCCCTTCCCTTTTCTATAAAATAAATATTTAAAAATTTTTAGAAATAAAATCAATGGGATGAATTGAGGGAAAAACCCTCAATTGGGATGGACTTCTGTGGATATATTGCCTAGGAGGTACTTGAAAGGCTATTGTAATACTTGAAAGCTGGTGGTAGCACTGAGGTATGTTTAGACCGGAAAGAAACTCACACAGGAAGTTCACATTTTGCAATGTTCCAATATGTACAAAATTCAATTGCCATGGTTACTTAACCCAGGTATGCCACAGGTTTAACAATCAGTTAAACATGGTATATTAATAGTAATTCTTAAAGTAGACACAATATGGATCCAGAGGATGGAGTCTCCAGCCAGAGGATCACTCTCAGCAAGTTCCTCACTTAACAAGTTCCGCTTTCCACACAACGGTAGTACACCATTAGGCTATGTTTTCTGTCACTATATAACAGAATCACCTTTTCTTTAGTCTCCCATAACACGTTCCTCATTTCCATTTGAGTTGTCACCAAAGTACCTTTCTTCTTCATTTTTCTACCAACATTCTTCGGAAGATACATGTCTTCTCAAGGGCTAATTTATTTTATTTGTAATGGTCTCACAGTTGGGCCGGTTAATCCTGTTTCTCTTGTAGTTAGGGCTAGAATGCAGAAATACTCTGGGGAAAAACAAAATCTTGATGAAACAGTTAAACAATTGTTCTACATTGCTTGGATCTTCTGAAAGGGAGATCGAAGCAATTATATCTTGGTGTCCTGTTCACACTTTAACCAAACACAATCTTATGCCTGAGTTTATAACTCCATGGAAACACTTTTTAAAGATTTTATTAGTCATCTGGGAACAACGTCACTTGAATACTATTCAGTCTTTTTAAATATTTTAAAAAATTTTTATTTTCGAGGGAGAGAGGAAAGGAGGGAGGAAGAGAGAGAAGGGGGGGAGAGAGAAACATTGAGTTGTTCCATTTATTTATGCATTCAGTGGTTGATTCTTGTATGTGCCCTGATGGGATTAAACCCACAACCTTGGCATATTGGGATGATGCTCTAACCAACTAAGCTGCTTGGCCAGGGTACTATTTAGTCTTTATTTTTGTCTCTATTTAACGGCTCTGTTCTTGACAATAAGATGGATAAGAATCAACTGTGATTCTGTACCAGTTTTTTGCTTTGTAGGGCTCACTGTTTTATAGATTGGTAGCATGTAATAAGTGTTTTAATTTAAGAAATGCAAATAGTGTCAACCATAATGGAAAATAAATTTTAAAAAAAGAAAACAGCTCTGACCAGGTGGTTCAGTCGGTTGGAACATGACCCCCTACACCAAAATGGTTTTGGGTTGATCCCCAGTTAGGGCACACACCTAGGCTGTGGGTTTAATCCCTGGTCGGGTCCAGGTGGGCTGCAGGTGATCTTTCCTCCCTCCCTCGCTCCCTCCCTCCCTCCCTGCTTTCCCTCCTTTCACCACAATGTTTTTCTCCCTCCCTTCTTTCCTCTGTCTCTAAAATCAGTAATAATACAAAAATATCCTCAGGTGAAGATTAAAATTTTTTAAATATAAAATTAAAAAAGTAATAGGAAAGAAACTTGGTAAGTTATTGGATATCAGTATGAATAGCATTATTCTAATTAGCAATCTGCCCAAAATAAACTGCAGTACAGAATTTTATAGCTCAAAGAATGCTTCTCAAAGTAACAGTTGGGCTGGGATTTGAAGAAAGAACGCCAGTGAACAACGGAGTAGGCAATGTGTTTGGGGCCTACGGGCTGCCACGGACAAAGCCGGCCTGTGCGGAAGGCCTGTGGCAGGGCATGCCGCGTCCTGAGCGCGGAGGGGGAGGGCAGGATTATCACAGTGCCTGAGGTTACAGGAGGGGAAACTGGAGGGCTCCAGAGTCACGGCTCCTGGGTGAGAAAATGAAAAGGCTTCACTTAGCCTTTCAGATTCCAGTTTCTTCCTCAGCAAAAATGGGATTAAAGGAGGGTGAGAGGGCCAAGGGGGGGATTTCAAAAGTACAAATTAGATCATTCCTATCAGCCCTCAGTTGTCTGCTGAGCTGATTGAATCACCAGAGGTCCCCTCCCCATCAACCAACCCTTCAGAACATCCTCTAACCCCAACCCTGACCCGTATTTCCCTCCTCAAGGGAGGAGCCACCAGTCCTGGTGGGCGAGGTCCTAATAGCTCCAACGTCCTGGTGGTATATCTATATACACACACGCCAGGGCCACATCACTAACCACACAAGTGGTAGGAACCTTGCTTGGAAGACCCTCCCTGGAGTCCTGCCTCACAAACTGGCTCATGGCAGCTGGAACCAGGTGAGTTGGGAGACTGGGGGATGTGGGTGCGGGAGGTGCAGCATCTTGATTTCCTGTGCGGCTGCTCTAGCAGGGCATGGACCCCCGACAGGCAAGCCAGCCCTAACTTGGATTCAGATGATTTTAGGATGCACACCTTCATTATTGTTGAGATCCCTACGTGAGCCTGTCCTAAGCCTTCTAAATACTTGCCAAAAATACAGATACCTAAATGGTGACTAATATCTATGTGTCACAAAGTGCCCAGAGGTGTGGGTCAGAAGCCTTGTGGGGACTTTTTCCGGGTGTGTCCTGTGTCTAGTGTTAAATCTTATTTTTTTGAAACAGATGTACCAAGACATTTATCTAAATGTATGTGTACACTGACACCAAAATGAAAGGAAAGCTGAGTGTTATTTTTCTTGTTCCGTGTGTCCCTGAAAAAAGGGGGATCAAGGGACCCAGCCCTAATGGTACCAGTAGTTTGAGATCAGACCTGGAATTCAACCAACATAGGGTACAAGCAGATGGGACTCTAATGCCTGCCTTAGTCTTTCCTCATCTCAAATAATCTCATATGGGAGGTTTGTAAAGTGGGCATGGGAAGTGGGGACAGGGAAGAAGATAATGGATTTGGAGTGGAGGACAAAGGGGACTGTTTGAAACAGCTGTGAGGAAGAGAAGAGACGGAATGGATCTGAGAGTTTTGTGATGAAGGGAAAAGGGCCAAAGTCTAAATAAGGAAGCAGGAGAAACTGGCTTGGCAAGAATAGAGCAGAGAAACACTTCAACGGAATTCGAAAGGTAAATCTTTAAGGAAAAAAAAAACAAACTTTTTCAATCAAAGAATATTTTAGGCATTCATAAAAGGAAAGAAAATATTATAATGAACCCAGGTATGAAGAACCCGGTTGTGGTAACTATAAACTTTTTGCCAGTCTTTTTCCACAGTCCTACTAACATCTTGCCATTTTTATGATGGAAATCCCTAGGAAATTCATTATATATTTCTAGGAGACTCTCCTATTCTACATATTTCTAAAGTCATTCTTATCTCAATCTAACATAGTTATCATTATTGTTTCTTCCTCAGTTATTCAACTTCCCAATTGAATTTTCATAAAGTATTTCTAAATAGAATGAAAATAGGTTTATCTATTGTAATTGGATAGTGTACCTGGTAAGTGTACTCTAATTCCTATATTCATCTTCCATTGGTTTGCTTTCTTTTTACCTTTGTGCCTCAGAAACATGGTTGAATTTTCAGTGGAGTGTATCACAGTCTGCATTTTACATATTACCTATTTAATGTAATACTAAATGTTTACCAGAGAAACAGAGCAAATAGGATGTATCTAGAAAGATACATACTATTATTTAAAAAAGGATTGGCTCAGAAGGTTATGGAAGCAAAGAAGTCCCATGATCTGCAATCTGCATACAGAAGACCCAGGAAAAATGGTAGTATAGTTGGAAGGTTGAAGAGTCTAAGAACAGGTGGTAAAGATTCCAGTCAACATCCGAAGGGCTGAGAACCAGGAGCACTCCAGAAAGGAGGTAGATGTGCCATCTGATTCAGTAGCAGAGAGTAAAATCAAAGTTTCCCCTCATTTTTGTTCCCTTCAAGACCTCAATGGATTGGCTGATGCTCACCAACATTGGGGGAGGACTATCTGCTCTGCTCATGTACTGATTCAAATACTAAGCTCTCCCAGAAATTTCCTCACAGCCATACCCAGAACTAGTGTTTCACCAGTGATGTGGGATGTCCAGTGGCCCAATCAATTTGACAGGTAAAATTAACCAAGTTATCTTTCACATGTTTCTCTGTCCCTTATATTTCCTTTAATAGGCGGTTGGATGTCTGTTTGATGAGATTTAGGTTTATTTTCTGACATAACTTCTTCAGAAATAATGTACTCCCTTCAACACTTGTATGATATCTGTTTGTCATTCTTATTGTGATGATTGTAGCCAATGAAAAATTTGCGTAGATGGATTAATTCACTTAGAGTTGCAAAATAGATGATAGTCTCTGTTGCTAACTCCTCCTATGTAAATATTGTCTTCATAAGTGGTCTGGTTTACCTGACATACACTATGGGGAAAGAAGGATGGATGCTGATTAAACTATCCTTTAAATGGATATATCATTTTGTCCACAGAAACCATATGTGACTTGGACTGTGCAGGGATTTTGACCACAAATACTCCTGTCACTTGGGGGAAATGTAGCAATAAATACAGGAGAGAGTGACAGGAAGGCTGGACCTCTGCTGCTGGCTCCAACTCTTCTTGGAAGCTCCTGCTGCCTTCCACAGAGAGCAAGGACTGAGCAGACATCCATTTCTCTCTTTCTCCAGCTCCCGGAGGATCGCACTGATTGCTGAGAGTCTCTTCAGACAGAACCCTGCCCTGCACAATGGCCTTTGCAGCCTCCCTCGTCGAGCTCCAAGCAGAGGCCAGCTGCCCCATCTGCCTGGATTACCTGAGAGACCCAGTGACCATTGAGTGTGGACACAACTTCTGTCGCTCCTGTATCGACCAGCGCTGGGAAGGCCTCCAGGACATTTTTCCCTGTCCTGTCTGCCTGCACCACTGCTGTGAAAGGAACTTCAGGAGGAACACTCAATTGTGTCACATAACTGATATTCTTAAACAGATTCCCACCATGAGGAGAAAAAGGAAAAGACAAGAGAATCCCTTCTGTAAGGAGCACCATGAGGTTCTGACCCTGTTCTGTGAGGAGGACCTGGAGCTGTTGTGTCCCCAGTGTGGGCACTCCTCGGACCACGGGGGTCACTCCCTGATTCCTACTGAGGAAGCTGCTGCCAGTCACAGGAGGAAGCTCAGAAGCTACATTGAGCCCCTGAGGGAGCAGGTTGAAGATGCTGAAAAGGATTTTGAAATGCAAATCTCAAAAGATTTTGAATTGAGATGGATGATGGACAATCAAAGGAGTGCATTGCACTATGAAGTTGAACAATTTAAGCATTTCTTGGAAAGCGAGCAGGATGAAATTCATACTAGGTTATTTAATGAAGAGACATGTGTTCAAGAAAAAATAAATGAAAAGAAAACACAAATATTGAACCACAGTTCCATATTAAAAAGCCTGCTCAGTGAAATTATCAGAAAGTGTTTGCAGACAGACCTGGATTTACTGACAGGTATTAAAAGTATCCACAGCGTGTATGAAAATCTAGAGACCCCAGCAGCCTTTTCATGTGAGTTAAAGGAGGAGACTTTCACTCTCCTCCCACAATATTTTGGCTTGCACAAAATGATCAGCACATTTCAGGTAGATTTGACACTGGACCCTGAAACTGCTCACCATAATCTTACTATCTCACCAGATAGGAAGACTGCAATATTTCAGATGAGGAAACAAAATTGTGTTCAGAATCCCAAGGCATTTAAGTTTTACCCAGCTGTCCTCAGTACTGAGGGCTTTGACGCTGGCAGGCATTTTTGGCAGGTAGAAATAGGAGGCAAAGGTGAATGGTCCTTAGGTGTGTGTAAAGAATCTTTCTCCAGAAATGCTCTTTTGTCACCATCCCCAAGAAATGGCTGCTGGCAAATTCAGCTCTGGACTAGTACATTTCGCCCATGGGACTCAGTAAACCCCAGACGGATTGGCATTTTTCTGGACTATGAGTTAGGAGAAGTTTCATTTTATAATTTGAAAAACAGATCACATTTATATACATTCAATGAGAGTCTTACAGAAAAACTTATGCCCTATTTCTCTATTGGACCTTCTTCAAAATCACTTACAATGAGGCTAGTCAAAGATGAGTGCTGAACCACCTTGTAAACAATTCTGTGTGTTGTACTTTCTTCCTATGTTAATAGAGAGTACTATTAATAAAAGGCCCCAGACCATTTTTGATACTTGCTGGTCTTTTCTTTTTATTTTATTTTTTTAGATTTTATTTATTTTTAGAGAGAGGGGAAGGGAAGGGAAACGAAAGGGAGAGAAACATTGATCGGTTGCCTTTCACATGCACCCCTTATTCACAACCTAGGCGTGTGCCCCAATTGAGAGTCCAACCTGCAACTTTTCCCATTTGTGGGATGATGCCAAACAACTGAGCCACACGGGCCAGAGTGTTGCTGATGTCTTTTAATTCTCTCCCCTCTGTTTTCACCCTTTGTTCCACATCTGGGCTAACCCTTAGGAAGGCTGAGCGCTCCTTCACAGGCCTTGGGAGCTGGGGTTTATAACTCAGGTCCTGCCTGCAGAGGAACGACCCCACCCCCGCCCCCCGCCTGTTTCTCAGCCACCAAAAACCCCAAGCCAGTTGCCTTTCTTCCTTTTCTCAATCTGTTTTTGGATTGGTAGCTGCCCTGCTGTTCACATAGAGCCTCATTAAGTAATAAACCATTTCACACCCTCTTGTTGTGTTTGTGCCATTAACAGTCTTGACACCAGAACCAAATTTTGAGTGGCTTGGGTTTTGTCTGTGGCATAACCATAACTGTAGTACTTAGTTTGCTGCACGATCCAATTTTATTCCTGGGATATTCTGATCCCAGGAAGTATGGTATATTTGTGCTCGTTTTCCAGCTACCATAAGACAAGCAGCTGTATCCCTCATTTTCTGATATCTATATTTTATTTGTGATGCCCCACTGCTCTTGGGAAAGATGTGAAAAGTTATAAATTCAATGCACTTATAATATTTACACAAAATAAAAGTATTACATCACTGGTTCTTCTGCCCTCTGCCAAAACAAAAAAGATCTACCACAAATCTCTCTTTTTTTTTAACATTGAAGAGGCAGTGAGTACTTAAAACCACACATGAATCCTGACGGTGTGGCTAAGTGAATTGTGTGCCAGCCTACGAACCATAAGGTCGCTGGTTCCATTCCTAGTCAGGGCACGTGCTGGTTGCAGGCCACATCCTCAATTGGGGGTTTGCAAGAGGCAACCGATCCATGTATCTCTAGCACATTGATATTTCTCTCCTCTTCCTCTCTCTCTTTAAAAAAGAAAATATATATATGTATATATAATATATATAGCGCATATATACACAATAAGAACTTAGAAAAAATAAAAACAATACATGAACTAGATCTACATAAGCAAATACAAAAAATGTCTCCAGATATACTCTTAAAAAGTGTAAAAACCTGTCTGGTGTGGCTCAGTGGATTGAGTCCTGGCCTGTGAACCAAAGCGTTGCTGGTTCCATTCCCAGTCAGGACACATGCCTGGGTTGCAGGCCAGGTCCTCAGAAGGGGGATGTGTGAGAGGCAACCACACATTGATGTTTCTCTCTTTCTATCTCCCTTCCCCTCTCTCTAAAAATAAATAGATAAAATCTTTTTTAAAAAAGTGTAAAGAAAGCAAAAGACATACCATATCGTAATATAAAATCAAGGAAGAAAAATAGATTTTTTTGCTGTATATTTGTATATGAATACTACGTTACTAAAATCTGCAGAAGAAACGTAAAAATTGTAAGGCTGAAAAGTAGCCTGGAAGCCTGATGGTCTGGGGTCAAAAAGCAATTTGCTTTTCAATGTACCCCACTATAATATGTGGTCTGTTACCACATTTTTAATACAGTTCCTCTTAAAAAATACTTAACAACACAAGTCTATTAGGCACTCACTGGGAAATTGCTGGTATTCACATTATAATGTTGCTGATTAAAGGAAAACCGTGATCCTATATCCCATTCATGGACTAGACAGACATTCACAGGGAGGAAGTCTCAAAGCACATTATCTATCTCTGTTGTCTGGATGGTTGTTCTCTCCTGGTGGGAACTCCTGATGGGATCTTTGCATCTAAGCTTCTAACACAGTATCTCACATTCTAGTAAAAGTTTATAAAAGGTCTGCTGGGTAAACAATTAAATGAGCTGCCTCGCTGGGGTTGATGAGATCAGGAAAGACATCAGGGTTGGAGTTGCACATTGATTTGTTTTCTGTGTGAATAAAGTCACCAGGAGCAATAGGTAGAACATATCAGAGTCTCAGTCTATTCCAACGGGGAAGTTTTGTTATTGAACCCCTAGGGAAAGGCTGAATCTGTTCCCACCCCGACACTACTCCGTGAATATCATGCAGTGTGATGGAGGGTGCAATTGTCAGGTGGAGCCTGGTATGCTGGGAGCCCTGGGATGAAGAACCAAAGATGTCAACGAAGAACAGAGCCATGGGAAAGAAACTGAGCACTCACCCCCATTTGAGAGGGTTGAGAGAGAAACTATCCTGTTAAACAGACTGAGGATGCACAGTCTGAGACCAGTCAGCAAATTTTATGTTGTTTATTTAATATTGCAGTACGAGCCATGTTCTGTCTTATACTTTGCTCTTTTTTTTTTTTTTTTTAATTTTTATACATTTATTTGAGCCAAAAGTGGTGACGGTTGCTGGGAAGCAAGATCTCAAATGCTCTCTATACTTCGTTTATTACAAAAAAAAAATATGCCTAGAGGTTTTTTCACACCTACATACTTAGATTAGTTCATGTATTGCTTTAAGCATTCACTGCCTCTTCAATGTAAAGCCAAATGAGATCAATTGTATTTGTCAGATTTTTCTTTAAAGAAACAGTACTGTACTTCTATCTTTTGTAATGGTTTTACTTTTTTTTTTGTTGCTGTTGTTGTTGTTGTTGCAGTTTTATAACTTTATTTGACAGTCAACAGTTAGTTCTTATCCATATTCTAGATTTTTGAAAGTGGTGACAGGTACATAGGTAATCAAGGCATAGATCTTGTTTGGGGAATCCTTATCCTCATTATGTTTTGTGGACAACTGCCCCGGAATGCGCTATAGACATTTCGTATTCCTTTGGTCCAGACAGCTTTGTTGTGCCTGGTGTCAATGTGTAGCTTTGGAGCTCACATCTCCTTCATGACGTACTTCTGGATCTCTTTGAGAGCCGCAGTGGACTGCTTCTTGAAACACACTCCATGGATGCACTTGTGAATGTTAATGGTGTATTCTCTGGTCACTACCTCTTTGATGGCAGAATGGCTCTTTTTCTCTCCCTCCTTGGCGGGAGCCATTATGCAGGGCCAAGTTGGAAAGAAAGATTTTACTTTTATTTTCCATTTCTTTATCAGCAAAGATGTGATTGAAGAGTATTGAGAAGGTTAAGAGAGGATTACAAAGGTGCAAATTATATCATGCATGTTAACAAAAGGTTAGTCCTTGCAAGCGAAAGGGAATAATAACAGGAGATCCCCTCCCCACCAACCAGCACTTCTGAACATCCTCTAACCCCCACCCTGGCTCACACCCTCTGCAAGGGCGGGGCCGCCAGCTTTTGTTGAGCAGAGTCCTGAGTAGCTCCACCCTCATCCTAGTGGTACATGGTATGCCATGGTCACATCACAACTGGTACGAGACTGGCTTTGAGACTGCCTTCGGGGACTTTTCCTGGAGACCCAGTTCAAGACTTACCCAAAGCAGCTGGTTCCAGGTAAACTCAGAGTCCGGACTGTACTGGCCCGGGAGGCAGAGCACTGGGAAAGCAGTGGTCTTCTGTGTGGTTGCTCCGGCAGGATCTTGAACGCACCTCTCTAGGGAATCCTAACTTGGAGTCAAGTTAAGACACATGCTTTTGTTATTGTTCATGCCCCTCAATGAGCCTTGCCCTAAGTCTTCACACTGCTTGCTAAAAATACATATATTGTGATACCAATCTGACTTGAGGGGGTGACTAATATCTGCATGTGCAAAGAACCCAGAGGTGCTGGTCTGAAGTTGCCTTTTGGAATCTTCTAGAATATCTCAGTGTTTAGAATCTAATTATTATTGTGTAAACCCAGATTCTCCAAGAGGTTTATCTAAATTTATGCGTATGCTGACATCAACTGACGGGGAAGGTTGGGGTTATTTTCCTTGTTCCTTGTGTCCCGGACACAAAAGAGGATCAAAGGCCCTTCCCCAATGACACAGATAATTTTACTTCAGGCCTCAAATCCAACCAACTGAACATACAAACAGGTGGAACTTTACTGCGTGCCTTGGTCAGTTCTCAATTTCAATTTTCCTCAATTTAGCAGATTTGTTGGGTGGGGAGAGGAAGTGGGAACAGGGCAGAAGATGATGGATTTGGAGTGAAGGAGAAAGGGGACAGTTTGAAACAGCTGGGAGGAAGGAAAGAAATGGAATGAATCTGAGAGTTTTGAGATGAAAGGGAAAGTCTAAAGAAGGGAGTAAGAGAAACCATCTTGGTTACAATAGAGCAGAAAATCATCGCTCTGTTTAAATGGCAAATTGAATTCAAAAGATAAATCTTTCTAATTATTTTTGAAATAGTAGAATATTTTATGCATCCAGAATGGGAGAGAAAACATTGTGATCTCGTGTAGGAAGAACCCATATGCTATGATTGTAATTTTGCAATTTCCACCTATAGTCCTACCAACATTGTGTCATTTTTATACAGGAAATCCCTAGGATTTCACTTGTAAACTTTTTATTCTATATTTCTAAAAGAGATGCTTTAGTCACATACTCATACCACTTATTATCTCAGTGTAACATCATTAGTGATTTTTTTTAATCCTCAGATATCCAACTTCCCAACTGAATTTTGAACAAGTATTTCAAAATTGAATGAAATTACATTTATAAATAAAAATGGTTTAGCATGGCTTTTAAGTCTACTTTAATTCCTATATGAGATGTTTATGAGATGTTTATTTTCTCTTTATATTTGTATTGAATTTGTATTGAATCAGTTTGTCATGGTTTGGGTTTTACTGATTATCTATTCAATGTATTGCTGACAATTTATCAGAGAAACAGAACTAATAGTATGTATCTAGAAAAAGATTTATTAAAAAGTATTGGCTCAGAAGGTTGTGGAGGCAAGGAAATTCCATGAACTGTTGACTGAAAGCAGGAGACGCAGAAAAGATGGTGGTGTAGTTGGAAGGCTGAAGTGTTTTAGAACGAATGGTACAGATTCCCATCTGTGTCTGAAGTGCTGAGAACCAGGAACATCCAGGATAGGACGTGGATGTGGTGGCTATTCTTTCTAGCTGAGAGTGAATTCAATGTTCCCCCAGTTTTTGTTCTCTTCAAATCCCCAGTGGATTGGATGATGCTCACCAGCACTGGGAGAGGGCCCTGCGCTTTGTTCATCCACTGATTCAAACACTAATCTCTCAGAAATGTCCTCATAGTCACACCCAGAACTGTTGTTTCACCAGTGATATGGGACATCCAGTGGCCCAATCATGTCGTCACATAAAATTGACCAGGTTATCCTTCCCATGGTTCTCCATCCCTTTTATTTCCTGTAAATAGGTAGTTGGACCTGTGCTCGATGAGATTTAGGTTAATTTTCAGATAAAACTTTTTCACCAATAGTGTTATGTACTTACTTTAGCAACTCTATGATATGTTTGTCACTTTAAATACATTTCCTTTATTTATTGAATTTTAGAGCTGGGGGTGCAGAGAGAGAGAGAAAGAGATGTGGACTTGCTCTTCCACTCAGTTATGCATTCATTTGTTTATTTTTGCATGTGCCCAGACCAGGGATTAAACCCACAAGCTTGGTGCTTTGGGACAACGCTCCAACCAACTGGGATACCTGGCTAGGAGCACTCTTTTTGTGATGGTTGAGGGCAATGATAAATTTGCTTAGATTGGCAAACTCATTTAGAGTTGCAAACAGATCATAGTCTTTACTGTTAACTCGTCCTTAAATATTGTCATAATAAATGATTTCGTCTTTGACGTATTCTTCCTCCAGAAAGGAAAGGATTAATGCTGATTGAACTTTTAAATGCAATCTCATTTTGTCCACAGAAACCATATATGACTTGGATTGTGCTGGGGTTTTGACCACGAGTACTATATGGCACTTGGGAAAAATGTGTCAATAAATATAGAAGAGCGTGACAGGAAGGATGGACATCTGCTGCTGGCTCCAACTCTTCTTGGAAGCTCCTGCTGCCTTCCACAGTTAGTGCGGACCTAGCAGACGTCAGTTTCTCACTTTCTCCAGCTCCTGGAGGATCGCACTGACTGCTGAGAGTCTCTTAGAAAGAACCCTGCCCTGCACAATGGCCTTTGCAGCCTCCCTCGTTGAGCTCCAAGCAGAGGCCAGCTGCCCCATCTGCCTGGATTACCTGAGAGACCCAGTGACCATTGAGTGTGGACACAATCTCTGTTGCTCCTGCATCGACCAGCGCTGGGAAGATCTCAAGGACATTTTTCCCTGTCCTGTCTGCCTGCACCACTGCTGTGAAAGGAACTTCAGGAGGAACACTCAATTGTGTCACATAACTGATATTCTTAAGCAGATTCCCACCACAGGGAGCCAGAGGGAATTGAAGGAGGAAAAACCCCTGTGTGTGAAGCACCATGAGGTTCTGACCCTGTTCTGTGAGGAGGACCTGGAGCTGTTGTGTCCCCAGTGCAGGGTCTCGTCAGACTACCAGGATCGGTCCCTGCTACCCATTGAGGAAGCTGCTGCTGGTAACAGGAGGAAGCTCAAAAGGTATGTTGAGCGCTTGAGTGTGGAGATTAAAGATGCAGAAATGGGATATGATTATCAAGCTGCAAAAGCTTTGCAAGTGATGAGGAAGATGGAATATTGGAAGAGAGAATTACGCTATGAATGTAAGGAACTTAAGGGTTCCTTGGAAACAGAGCAAGATGAACTTAATTCCATTCTACTTATGGAAGAGAAGGACATAGAAGGAAAACTAACTGAGAATAGAAGGCAAATCTCAAACCATATGTTCACACTAAACAATCTGTTAAGTGAAATAGCAGAGAAGTTTTTGCAGACAGACCAGGAATTACTCACAGGTATTGAAAGTATCCACAACAGGTATGAGCACCTAGAAACCCCAGCAGTCTTTTCATATGAATTAAAGAAGAAGATTTGCACTCCCCCTCCACATTATTTTGGCCTGTATAAAATGATCAGCACATTTCAGGTAGATTTGACACTGGATCCTGAAACTGCCCATCCAAGTCTCATTATCTCAAGAGACAGAAAAAGTGTGACATATAAGACACCAAATGGTCTTCAGGATCCCCAGGCACTTAATTCTTACCCAGGTGTCCTCAGTTCTGAGGGATTTGATGCTGGCAGGCATTTTTGGCAGGTAGACATAAGAGGCACAGGTGAGTGCTTCTTAGGTGTATGTAAAGGATCTTTTCCCAGAAATACTCTTACGTCACCATCCCCAAGAAATGGATGCTGGCAATATCCCCTCTGGACTAGTTCATGTGGCCCATGCTCTATACGACTGATTGGTATGTTTCTGGACTATGAGTTGGGAGAGATTTCATTTTATAATATGTATAATAGGTCATATTTGTATAGATTCAGTGATGTGTTTACTGAAAAACTTAGGCCTTATTTCTCTAGTGCACCTTCTTCAAAATCTCTCACAATTCGAATCATCAGAGTCAAATGAAAATACTTGGAGGAAATTTTGTATATAGTTATTTTCTTCTGTTGTCATTGGAAGAAATTGTTGTAATGAAGATCCTGATCCAGTTTTGATGTTTGACTGTTGAAAGCTTTGGGACTCAGCCTTCTCTCCTCCCCTTACCTCACACTTGGAAAACTGATGAGAAAGCCCAGGTGCTGCATCCTTTGGTGCAGGTGGGAAGTTCCAACCAAGCAAACCTCTAGCAGTGCCAGCACCCTCCCACCCACCACCAGCACCCAGTAACTTGCCATAAACACTGCAGGCTAGTCCCTTTTTCCTGCACTCTCAGTCATTTTGGGATGTACTCTGAGATCTTCCCTACTGTCCCCCAAAACCTATTTATGTTGAGTATTAATCCTTTTTATACTATTCTAGTATGTGGTGGTGAGTCATCATTAGCCCAACGTTTGAGGCAAATTTTGGATGGTTTCCCCCCTGGCTATGCAACCTGGTCACCACTATTGACACTGTGAATAGGATTACCCAGATGTGAAGCATCTCCAGCAGAGGGTTCTCCTCTGGCTTTGTCTGGTAACAGGCTCCTCTGCTAGGCAAGTGTGTCCTTTAGTTCTGGGCTTCATTTGTTGACTTCTCCCCAAGCTGTGTTCATTTAACTGACCTAAGTCAGAAGTGTCAATAAAGATCACATTGTATTTACTTTTTCTATTTCATATAATATTTTGGGAGTTCTGTTTTGCTTTTGTCTAATATTTTATATAATTGTTTTTCATACATAACCTCCAAACGTCACATACTCACGTTGAACATTATGTGAAACTGTTGACATTTTACAACTTGTCTGCATTTGGAAGCCTGTATGTGTGTTTACAGTGTTGGTAAATAGAGTTTTACTTTATCTCTGCACTATTTGTCTTTCGTCATGATTTGAATAGAGGCTCAGCAGAACGTTCATTGTGATGGTATGCTGCACCAATCAGAGTAGCCATTGCATGCTGTGGTAATCTCAGTTGCTTAGTAAGACAAACTAATACTTATTCTTGTAAAGTGCAATGTGAGGCGCTGCTGCATTACCTGCTCAGGAATGTAACTCCTTCAGCACTGGGTCACTGCAACTAAAAAAAGGAGCACACTGAGGCTTGAAGGCCAGCACCAGGAAGTGACACACATTTACTCATATTCCATTTTCTAAAAGTAATTGCAAAACCCCACTTACCTTCAAAGGGTAGGAAAGAATATAGGCTTACAAGAATACCAGAATACATGTGGTGAAATGCTTCTGTTTGTCATAATTCCTGAATCAAATTAGATTTTAGTGAAATTTATATTAATGATAAGTGCTACAATTAAAACTTTCCACTTAGAACTTGTGAATAGGTTAACATAAAACTTACATTACTTTGGCTTAATGGTTGACACTTGTTCAATAACTTTCCCCCATATTGGAGGTATTTCTTTTTAGTAAAATAAACCTTAAAATAAAATCTGCATTTTTTAGAAACATAAAGCATTGTTATTTTGAAGTTTTGCTGATTCATTAGGAAATGAATCATTGAGACTAATGTTTAAACACCATTAAATAAATGTGGGAAAAAAGCTCCATTGGGAAAGACTTCTGTGGTTCAGTTGCCTAGGAATTACTTAAAGGACTGGTTTTACACTGAAGGCCAGCAGTTCACACTTTGCATGGTTCTAATATATACAAAATTCACCTGCCACAGTTACTTAAATAACCCAAGTCTACCTCTGGTTAAAATTTCAGTTAACCACCGTGTATTAACCAAGAATGTGGAGTCTACAGCCACAAAAGATCACTTTCCTCAGCTAAATATCCAAGTTCATCGTTTACAAGCTCTGCTTTTCACACAACGGTAGCACACAATTTAGCTATGTTTCTGTCATTGTGTGACAGAAATAAACTTTTCTCCGGTCTTTATTTTTTAAAAGATTTTATTTATTACTTTTACAGAGAGGGGAAGGGAGGGAAAAAGAGAGGGAGAGAAACATTTATGTGCCAAAGATTCATCCATCGGAAGCCTCTCTAACGCCCCCAACTGGTCACCTGGTCGGCAACCCAGGCATGTGCCCAGACCAGAAATCCAATCGGCAACCTTGTGGTCAGCAAGGGGGTGTTCAAATCCACCGAGCCGCACCAGCCAGGGCTCTCCCGTCTCTTTTAGTATTTATGTCATTTCCATTTGAGCTCTCACCAAAGGACCTTTCACATTCACCTTTCTACAAATATATTCCTTGGGAAAATATGTCTTCTCTAGGGGTAACTTATCTTACTGCCGTGGGCTCACTGTTGGGCTCGTATATTCCATTATCTGCAGTATGGGTTAGAATACAGAAATACTCTGGGGAAAAAAAACCCCAGAATCCCGATGGATTGAATCTTCTAGAAGAGGAGATCTGAAGGAATTATATCGTAGTGTCCTCTTACTTTAACCAAAAGCAATTTTACATCTGAGCTTGTAACTCCATTGTAACCGTCTCATTAATTTCATTAGTCCTCTGGAAGCAAAGGCACTTGAATACTATTCAGTCTTTATTTATGCCTCTTTCCTTAAGTTTTTGCTTCGTAGGGCTCACTGTTTTATAGACTGATAGCATGTAATAAATGTTTGAGTTTTTAAAAATGTGGGTGACGTCAACTACAATTGAAAAACAAGTTTAAAAAATTAAATAATTTGGGTAAATTTTTAGCAATCAATATAAATATTAATTTGCCTGATAAGTAATCTGCCAAAAAGAGTGATGCAGAATTTTAGAGCTCAAAGAATGCTTCTCAAAGAAAGTAACGATTAGGTTGGAAGTTTAAGTAAGAATGCCAGTGAACAAGGAAGTAAACAACATGCATGGCGCATAGGAGCTGTTATGGAAGAAAGCTATCTGTACAAAGATCCTGTGGCAGGGGGAGGCGGAGTCCTGAGTGCGGAGAGAAAGGGCAGGACTGCACAGGGCTGACTGCAAACTGTAGAAGGAGGGTGGAACTGGTGGGCTCCAGAGTTACACATTCCTGGATGAGAAAAAGAAGAGGCCTCACTTAGGCTTTCAGATTACAGATTTATTTCTTCATCAGCAAAGATGTGATTAAAGGGTGTTGAAAGGATCAAGGGAGAATTTCCAAGGTGCAAATTAGATCGTGAGTATTATCCGCGTTAGTCTTTCCAGGCTTGATTGGATCACACGCCATCTGCCCTCCTTTACCCAGCAACTCTGACTGTCCTCTAACCCTGGCTCACCCCTCCCTCCGTGGGGGAGGAGCCACCGGGCTTTGGTGGGCGTGGTCCTAAAAGCTCCACCCTCCTAATATAGATATGCCAGGGTCACGTCGGTGATCACGCAGTCATGTGCCAGGCTGGCTTCAAACACCCTTGAGGGAGAGCTGCCTCTCGGCCGTACCAGACCGGACCAGCGTTATAGCTCCGCCCCAGCCTTGGTGAGTTGGGAGTTTGGACCGTGTGGGTGCTGGACACGCGAGTGAGGTAAGACCTGTGGATTCCTGAGCGTCTTCTCTGTGACCGGCTGGGACACAGAACTTCAAAAGGGAGTCCAAACTCGGGTTTGGCTTATTTTAAAACGCATGAGGTTTATTATCGTTTCCCGGTCCCTCTCGGAACATTATCTTAAGTCATCTAAATGATCGTTAAAATTTTGGATACCCATATCTGACCCTTGAGGAGTTAAGAGACAGGAGAACATCTCCATGTGATAAGGCAAGGGGAGTTTCGGTCCTCACCGAGTGGTCCATGACCACGAGTTCCACATGGTCTGGAATTTGGGACCATCTAAGTGGCTGAAGTGGGAGCGCGGTTGACTCTTGCAGGGCCGGACTGCGCTTTGCAAGGAAGCCCTAACTTAGATCCGGGTTACCGTACACATGCTCTTATTATGGTTCTGGTCCCTCAGTGACCATTGTCCTAAGTCATCCAAATGCTCGCTAAAAACACAGAAACCACATCACAACCTGACCTAACGGGGTGACATTTGTGTGACGAAACACATAATGGTGCTGGTCTGAAGCTGCCTATGGAATCACTTCCAGGATGTCTCAGGGTGTGTGTTTAGGTGGGGATAGGTTGGGGCGTTTGTGCCTAGGAGGGGAGTGGAGAAATAAGAGCTATGTGCCTTTATTCCTGGTACTGAGACCCTGCATTGACTTGATCTTCCTTAGTCGGCCTGCTGACAGAGGCTCAGAGTATAAGCAGATGGCCCGAAACCACTTAGTCCCTAAAGGAGACCTGGCCAGGATTTTAGTCATCCAAGAGTTTTAGCCAGGGACTGAGGAGATAATTGGAGATAGAGTCATGGTGGGGATTACATGGAGGTTACAGTAGTGGGGAATTGAGATGTACAAAAAGTGTGTTAATTTGCAATTTGAGTTGAAAGAATCCGTGATACTGCTTTTACTGTTCCCTGACTCTGTGGGGAGCAAGGTGACCCAACATGGAGGTCACCTCAGTCTCTGGGCCTCCACTAGGATCAGTGACTGATTGTAAGGGAAAGCTGAATTCTCTTCTCAAAAATTCCCACTAGTTGTAGTTTATCAACTTCAAAGGCTAGTGTGTGTCTGCTTCCCAGCTTTTTCTCACATTGAATTCCTGATCTTGAATTGCATCCTGTGCCTGTGATAATCAGTCTTCCTACTTAGCGAGGTTTTCAGAGTAAATCTAATCTGGGTCAGATCCCACCCACTTAGGTACCCAGTTGGGTATGTCCTGCATTTGAGAAGCATAAATGAAAAACAAGTGAATTTTGACATATCGTGAATTCAGTGCTATCAGAAATAATTGAAGTTGGGATTTTTACACTTGTTAACCTAATTCTCTTAATGTTAAGGATGTTAAGTGCTTTCTCTAAGTTCCCCAGATAATAGGTGACTAAAGCTGAAACCTAACCTGGTGACAGAAGATCTAGCAGCAAAAATACACTTTCTGTAGTCCCATGCAGCCCATATGTGGCTCATGTGGGTGCAGGTGGGCTGTGGGACTGAGGAAGAGAATTCAATGGTTCCCTCAAAGGTGACAGTAAGCAGGGCCCCAAGATAAATAGATTTCTTAATTTTTTTTTTTTTTACATGAAACTATACTTTCTCGTCCCCAGGAACCAATAGGTACTTAAGAGTCGTGACTGCTTTTTGACCAAGAAAATTGCTGAGCTTGGGCTCATATCCTCTGAGCTGCCAAGGGCAGCTAGTTCTCCAACTACTCTGATTGGCTAGGGGTGGACAGCAGAGCGCCTCTGGGCACCTACCTCTGCAGCAAAGGACCTTAAAGGATAGCAAGGGCTGCCTCTAATTGACAAAGAGATATTTGGACAGAAAGGACAGTGAGATCTCAGTGTGCATCTGCCTCTCGGTGGAGAGACCTCACAGAGCCCAAATTCCTGAAGAAAATCCACCTTGGTTCCATCCTTCATGCAGGGCGCAATGGAGACTGAGGCAGTTCTGGCAGGACTCCAGGCAGAAGTCAACTGTCCCATCTGTCTGGATGAGCTGAGAGACCCTGTCACCATCGAATGTGGGCACAACTTCTGTCGCTCCTGCATCCAACAGTCCTGGGCTGACCTGCGGGACAGGTTCCCGTGCCCTGTGTGCCGTCACCGGTGCCAAGAGAGGCATGTGAGGAGCAACACCCAGCTGGGAAGGATGATCGACATCACCAAGCTCCTTCAGATCACCAGGAGCAAGAAGGAGGAGCAGGAAGACAGGCGCTTGTGCGAGAAGCACAACCAGGCCCTGACCCTCTTCTGTGAGGAGGACCTAGAGTTGTTGTGTTCCCTGTGCACTCAGCCCCCTGACCACGAGGGCCACCAGGTGAGGCCCGTGGATGAGGCCGCTGCTCATCACAGGCAAAAGCTCAGCAGTTACATCGAGCCCCTGAAGAAGCAGGTGGCAGACATTCAGAAACTAGTAACCACCCAAGACAGGAAACTGTTAGAGCTGAGAGAGAAAGTGCAAAACCGGAGAAGGAAGTTAGCCTCTGAATTTGAGCACCTGACACAGTCTGTAGAACGGGAGCAAGAGGCAGTTCTTTCAAGGTTAGCCGAAGAGGAGAAGAACATCCAACAGAAACTGAGTGCCAACACAACGGCGTTTGCCGACCACATTTCCAGCCTGAACAGCCTGCTGAAGGTGGTGGCAGAGAAGAGCGTGATGTCAGACGTGAAAATGCTGACGGGCATCCGGAGTGTCTTCCACAGCTGCGAGAGCCTGAAACCGCCGGCTGTGTATTGGTTCCAGCTCCGGAGAGAAGGGTGCTGCCTTCCTCCGCAGTGTTCGGCTCTGCAGAAGATCGTGCGGAAGTTTAGAGAAGAAGTCACCCTGGATGCTGAGACAGCGCATCCTAATCTGCTTGTGTCCAAGGATAAAAAGTCGGTGACATTTGTGAGGAAAAAGCAAAGGGTTTCTCGGAATCCGAAGAGATTCGCAGTCGACCCCGCTGTCCTGGGTTCGGAAGGGTTTGATGGTGGCCGACATTACTGGGAGGTCCAGGTGGATGACAAGCCTGAGTGGGCCGTGGGCGTTTGTAAAAGCTCCCTGACCAGGGAGAGGAAGCATCCCCCACCAGGGCACAACCGATGTTGGGCAATTCAGCTGCAGAATGGTGATTATGTGGCACGAGGGTCTGCCACCACCGCCCTTGTGCTGAAGGAAAAGCCCAGAGGGATTGGCATCTATCTGGACTATGAGTTGGGGCAGGTTTCGTTTTACAATTTGAATGACATGTCTCACATCCATTCTTTCATGGATAAATTTTCTGACGTGCTGAAGCCTTACTTCAGTACTGGGTATGATCCTAAACCTCTTACAATCTGTGCTGAAAGAGATTATGAAGGATGATCTGTGACTTTGCTTCATTGTCTTCCTGTGATTTTTGGACAGTAGCTAGAATTTTGTACAACTGTCTAGCAGTGAATGAATCTAGCACCATGAAATTAAGTACTTCCATGTCTTAAACATTGGGATGTTTCTCTCTCTCTCTCTCTCTCTCTCTCTCTCTTTCTCCCTATTTTCCTTCAATAGCAAGAGATTTTGTGGGAACAAATGGAGATGTAGGGAATAGGTGTAAAGTGTTTCTGAAATTCCTAGAATGCATACATTGTAATTCACAGCTTCAATAAATTTTGAGTACATTTACAAATATTACAGATTCTGTGTGCATGTCATGGTGTGGTCCTATGCATAAGTTCTTTATATTCCAGGTGGAAGACAAGGTAGAATTATGGGTTTCTCTCATTTCTCAATGTGTTGGGAGTAAAGCATTGATTGCTTGAAACTATTTTTCAGGATGTTTTTAGAGATGGGGTCTTCATCAGACTTTTAGGACTCACCCTTCTTTTGTCCTCTTTTCCTCACACCTGGGAAAGCTGAAGAGAAAGCCCAGGTGCTTCACACTGCAGGTGGGAAGTGCAAACAAAGCCAGCCCCTAGTAGTGAGTGCCAGAACCCTCCCACCACAAGCACCCTGTAACCAGCATAAACACCCAAAGCTTGTCTCCTTTCCCTGCACCCTCAATACCCTGCTCTCCCCGTAAACCTCATTACAGAAATAATAAACCCTTTCATATCCTTCTGGTGTGGGTGGCATCATCAATCCTGAAACATCCATATTTTGAGTGGGGATCGACCTTGGCTATAAAATCCAGTCTTTGCATTTGGCATTCTGAGAGTACCATGGCTCATCTACAGAGTATGGTAACTTGTTCCCAAGATTACAGTTTGAAAAAGTGGGAAGGAGGGAGCAGGGGATGTAACTGTACAGTGGAAAAGCTTGTAAACACTGCCTTAGGTGATTAAAGTTCATATCATCAGTGATATGCCATGTTGGTAGCTATTATCCCTCATGGGTGGCAAATACTCTTCTGATATTCTTTTAGCCTTTTCTGGTGTTGGAAATGAGAATGGAAATATGATATACATCCTAGTAATTTCTAGTAGAATTAATATAGATACAGAATAATTTCTTCTAAGTTTTGTTACTGGTACAATGACAAAACCCAAAAAATTTGGAAAACTTATTTTGATTGCTTTCAGCTCCCCACTATGCTTACCATCCCTTAGTAAGAAGTATTTTCAAGTTTTACAAGTCTCTTTATGACAACTTCACATCTCCAACCTCATGTTTTTATTAGCATGTTTGAACATTATGTCGAACATAGATTGACCAGTTCATTTTATCTTGTTTTTGTGTCTTTTAATTTCCTTAAGTCACATTATATAATTTCTCTTATGTTGCTGAAATTTTACAGATATGAATCATAATCTGTAATGGAAATATGTACTCTGTAATATTGCAGATATTTTTGGTACTTTATGTTCAAACTTTTGGCAATGCCTTACCACTTTGAATGAAGGTAATACATATAATCAGAAATTAAATATATGTTTAATATCTCCCTAAATACCTTTAGTGTATTTTTATGCTTTAACTTTTAAGGTGGAACTTAGCATTGTATATGAGACATACGGAATATAAAAAATAGGAAGTAATCTCCAAGTCATGTCCCATACAGATTAATTCCTTAATGTTTAATGCATCAGATTAAAATAAAAGGAAAAGCAAGTGTAAAAATTGAACATCAATTTGAAGTATCTTACACTTATCTGCCTAAGCTATCCTAGTTGTTCAAGGGCAGATGTGCCAAACGCCATGATTGGGTTTACGGGAAATGTTCAAAAGTCAGACGGAAACCGCAGGGGCTGTTACCATGGTTTGCTGGTATTCCCGACAGTCTGGAAAATTTAGTGACCTGCTTTGGGTTAGACAGGTGGAGCCTGGAATGTCGCACTTTAAGCGTCTCACCCAGAAGCCAGTGCACTTTCCTCCACATTAGTTTGAGTAACAAAGAAGGCAGGAGGCTAGCGGGGTCCACCGGGTGGGGGTGGGGGTGGGGGTGTCCACTCTGGTAGCTAATGAGATTTAAGGGTGGGGCCAGGAATGTGCTAGGCCTGATGGTGCCAGAGAGCATGCGCAATCTGGCGGGAAGTGGGTAGGCGGCAGAAAACGAACGGACCAACCACTCTGGGTCAGTTTCGGTCAGCTCCAGTCGCCTCGCACAGCCCGAGGCGCTGCGGGATCAGCAGCTCTCGGGACCTGAGGAAGAAATCGGGGCAGCCGAGCTGTGATTGGCCACGGCGCGCGGGGTTTTATGGGTTTGTGCTTCCCGGTGAAACAGGTCGAGGGTGACCACGGAGACTTCCGCATAACTCCCGTAAGGTTAGGCGCTAGGAAGGTGTCGAGGGTGACCACGGAGACTTCCGCATAACTCCCGTAACGTTAGGCGCTAGGAAGGTGTAAAGGTACACGGTAAGCGCAGAAGAGCTGGCCTCTTCAACCTGGTCCTAGCACCTGGAGAAAAGGTGGTGCAAGGTCAGCTCGGCGAGCACTCAAAAGAGCATTGAGTCGGTCGCCATTACAGGCTACACTGAGACATGGCAGTCCCGACTACTATTGCTATCAGAGACCCAGTGACGACAGTATGGAACAACTGCCTTTGCTCTTGCAATCACCAGTCCGGGGGAGAAATGCTCTCTCCCTGCTCTTGCCGCCGCTCACTATCTCAGGGAGGTGTTTTAGGATTAATACCCTGATAGGTAACTGAAATTGCTAACCACCTCCAAGGAGTAGCATGAGGAAAACGCTGGAAGGGAAACACTAAGATGTCTGCTCGGTCCCCGCCCCCGCCCCCCCCCCTCCGCCCTTCCTTTCCTTTTCTTCCCTTTATTTTTTTTCTTCCTAGAGAGTTTGTGCCTGCAAGTCTTGTACTGGGTTTAACCTCTAAAGGATCATTATTCCGTTATAAATACATTAAAGCTACAGAATATTAGAGGGATTAAACTCTGGTTTTAAGCAACGTATGCTCTTACTGCAAAATGAACAGGCTGCAGCCTTGAAAGCCGTAAAGTATAATGAATAGGATATTAGACACAAACTAAATGAGGACAAAATTTTCAGACCACGCATGCTTTCATACTCAAAGTGAGCTAGCAGAGATAATGGTATCAGTCAGACTGACAATCAGTAATATTAAAAGTATCCACTACAGGTATTAAACGATAAAAACTCCAGGACAAGTTCATTTTAACTAAAAAATGATGATTACAGGCATTTGCAACTATCTGGTTCCAGGGAGGAAAAGGAATGCAGCTGAGGAGGGGCACGGGACGGGGCCGCTTTTAGGTTAAAGGTAAATTTCTTAAGTGGAATGGTAGACAGCGAATTATGGTTATTAGTATTTTCCTTTAAACATACAAAGGAATACCTCTACATTATTTGCACAGGTTATCCATCATGTATGTTAGGAAATGACCTAAACCAAAATGTAAACATCAGAAAATACACAAAAATGAAGAATTCTATTTGGAGAGGTCCAGGGTGAAATCCTCATCTTCCAAAGTAGGACATCAAATGATAATACCTTAAACTGAAAAATTCAGAATTATCCCTATTACCTTATTTAGTGGCTATTAAATACCCAAAGAACATGAGTTGAAAGTGGTTGCCTCTAAGAATTTGGCAATTGTTAATATAAAGCAATGGCTGGTAATTCTAATACATCTTGTAACCAACGAGCATTAATTAAAACATCAAAACTAGATTAAAACCCCCGTTGAAACCAAATAAACTATTCTTAAAGCACAAAATGCTTAGCTGCATTGTTTAATTGAAATGAGAAAGGGAAGACTAGGCCTGGAGTCATGGTACTATTGAGGGTGGCAGCTGGGAGCACTTAGTCTTTAACCAACTTTATGAGGTAGATTATTTTTCTATTTTAAAGGTAAGGAAACTGGTTCCAAAACCTACCAAGTTCAAACTCCAAAACTTTTGCTGCTTTGTGTATGTGCTTCCTCCAGAGATCACTTAATGACTCTTCAGTATAATTTCAGAATGTCCTTTGTAATCCATAGAGGCCACTCACTTGCCAGAAGTTAAGATTCAGTGGTCTTCTGGAACATGAAGCTTATGCCAATGCTGGCGCCTCACCCGCTCAAGGTCTCATTTACTCCCACCTGAGCCATCCAGAGGGAACCCGAGAGTACTCCTGGGTTACTAAGCTATATAGACTACAGTAAGGATTTCCATGAGGTTAGAGGCTGTTGGCAAGTTGATTACTGTATATCCTCCTGAGTAATCTTGATGTCATGTGAGTTAGAAAGTTTAATTGTACCCTAAGGCAGCCAATTGGTGGATGTTATGTAAGTTATTAAAAGATCTAAACGTATATTGTGTTCAGGGAACTCAGTAACATGGAGATTGTCTATTTTGTCCAATTTGACTTCCAGCTTCAATGCAATTTCAAATAAAATCTCCATGGTTATGTTTAATTTGGTAAACTGATTGCAAATTTACATGGAAGAGGCCAAGCGTTGCCAAGGTAACCCTGCATAGATGATGAAAATTTTCACCAGATATCAAGAATGAGTCAACCATAATATTTGAGTATGGTACTGGCCCAAGAATAGACCAATAGACCAGCAGAACAGATTCAACATCACATACAGGTAGCATTGCAAATTGGTTGAGGAAATGATAGACTGCTTAATAAATTAAGTTGTGACTACTGGTAATTTATTCAATTTATATTCAAGATATATATATAATTAATTACTCAGGCAGGCCCCATCCTATTCCTCCCAAAAGTATAAACTCCAAGTAGATGTTTAAAACGTTTAGAAGCACACAGAGTATTTTAATGGCACTGGTGTAGGATAGGATTTCTTAAATAAGAATGTAAACCTAAAAAGTCCAATACAATCAACTACATCAAATATAAGAACGTTTGTACAAGGCACTGTAAGAGATAAACTTGAAGATACCTGCAGTGACTATAACTTCTACAGGACCAGAACCCAGAAAAGAGTTGTTATCAATGAGACAAACAGACTAATTGAAGAACAAGGAGCACTAGCCAGGTAGCTCAGTTGGTTATAAGCACTGTCCCGATACACTAAGATGTGGGTTCGATCCCTGGTCAGGGCACATACAAAAAAATCAACAAATGAATGCACAAATAAGTGGAACAACTAACCAATGCTTCTCTCTAAAAACAATAAAAAAAAAAAGTACACTGCCAATCTTAGCAAGAACTGTTAAAAAAAAAACAAACAGTATTTTATAGGAAAGAAACAGGAATGATTGTTAAACTTATGGAAATATAGTTAGAATTTATAGAAATAACTAAAACCAGAGATAACATTTAGCGTCTTGCAAATTAGTAAAGAATTTTAAAAAATCAAGCTGCTAGTGCAGAGCAATGAGAACATTTATACACTGTGGGAGGGAGTATTGCCACAGAACTTTAGGGAAAAAATCGCATTATCCAATAAAGATGAGGTCTATCAATTTACAAAGAAACCAGATGTATAACTTTCATAGTTTCAAACTGAGTATCCATCAGAAATAGAGTGAAAACAAAGTAAAACCTTAAGCAAAAGCATTATGAATCTCATGAACATGTTGAATGAAAAAAACCATCTGACAGGATAGTCTAATATCAATTTTATGTAAAACTCAAAAATGTGTGGAACTGAACACTATTTAGGGATACAAATATACATGGTAAAAAGAACAATCAAATGTCAAATTAAGAATGATGGAGGGAACTGAAGAGAACCAGCAAGAGAATAGGCTGGCGCTGAGAAGAGCACAAAGGAAAGTTCAAGGGTGATGTTAGTATTGGGTTATGGATACATGGATGTCTTCTTTTTCATTATGCGCTACAGCTGAAAAAGTATAAATATATATTCAATGTACATTATTTGCAAAAGTTAGACATGGCCTGAATATATATCCATCAGTGGGGAAATGGTTAGGTAATATTGAATTGACAGTATTAAACAGATTATTTGAAGTGAAGACAGTTATCAAAGTTAGGTAATAAAAGTTAACAACAGAAAAAAGAATAGAAATTGAGTAAATGTGAACAGCAAAACTGATAGGTAAACCCAATCAAAATAAGAATCAACACTGTTGTGGAGGTCCTAATCAGTGCAAACAGGCGAGAAAAGAAAAAGAACCTAAATTATAAGTGAAAAAGTGAATGTCTATTTACAAATGGCATGAGTACCTCTACAGAAAATCCAATGGATTCGACTCAGGGATAAATCTACCCAAAAATGTTAAAGTCACATATACTAAAAACTCAGATATTGCAGAGAGAAGACCCAAATAAATGAGTTCATGGATTAAAAGCCCCAATATTGTTAAGATATGATTCCTTGAATAGAGTAAGCCTAAGAAGGAAAACAACTAATCAACAGGGATTTTGAGAAAAAAATGTCAGTTCCCAAATGAGGTGAGGGATGGCAGCCTAACAGAGTGAGAGGATACATTGTTCAAAAAGAAACAGAGGGAAGAGTATCTATTGATTGTATGTGCATATATAAGTATATGATATATCTATCTAAGTGGTGAGATCACTACCATATTTTTCATTGTATGTCAAAACTGACAAAAGACACAATAAAAAGAACGAAACACATTACAGAGTTATTGAGGTAAACAGATAAACAAGTTTTTCAATAATTCATTATTCAGAATCTGTTACTGTACAGATTTTAAGAGGTTTTGAGTCAGTTCCAGTATGGAAATAGGGCCAAAGTGCTCCTGTAAAATAGTCACTAAAAATATAAAGAAGAGATCTATCACTCAAATTGTAAAAGGAAACCTCACCCAATTCATAGTCTAAGAAAATGCCAATCTTACTAGGTATTACTTTTGGCAGAAGATTAACTTTTTTAGGACCTAGTGCAGCGTAGTTAATTGGACCACCTCGCTTGATACACCACAATCCATCCTGTAATAAAATCGATGGATTCTGACTCTTTCTTCTTCTGGGAATAGAATCTTTACAGACACCCAAGACCCATTCAGGCTTGTCTTTCACTTCTACCTCCCAATACTGTCTGCCAGAATTATATCCCTCGGAGCCCAGAACAGCGGGGCAGAGGTAAAATCTTCTTGGGTTATGAGGTAAGTTTTGCATTCTATTTCCATATTGTACAGTTTTTCTATCATCTGAAATAATAAGTTTACGATGGGCTGTTTCAGGATCTAGAAATACATCAACTTGAAAACGTTTGATAATTTTGTTTAGGCCAGAATATTGTGGAGGAAGATGGTAACCATATTCTTTCAACTGGAATGAATAAGGTTCGGGGGCCTTTAAGGTTTTATATCTATGGTAGATACTTTTAACATCTGTCAGGAATTCCAATTTTGACTTTACATATTTGTTCTCTATCTCCTTTAATAGATATTTTAATGTGGAAACATGATCTGAAAACTTTGTTAGGTTTTCATTTAGTTTTGTTAAAATATCCATTTCTTCATCTTGTAACTGCTGAAGAACAGTGTCTTGCTCATTTTGGAGAAACAACATAAGCTGCTCAAATTCAGACCTTATTTCTTCTCTCCTATATTCTACTTTCTTCTTTAGTTCCAGTGATTTTCTGGTTTGCATAGTTATCACCTTTTCAACTTGTTCCACTCTCTCTTTCCATGGTTCAAGGCAATACCCCAATCTTTCCCGATGATAGGGGGCAGCCTTCTCTATGGGCCAAACATAATGATTCCGGTGATCATCGGAGAAACTGCACTGTGGACATAAAACCTCTAAGTCCTTCTGACAGAAAAAGGTCAGAACCTGATTGTGCTTTTTACATAAAAACTTCTCTTCTGGTCTCTTCCTCTTGCTTCTTCTTACCTGGAGTAGCTTAGCAATTTCAGTCAAATTGCCCAGCTGGGGATTGCTTGCAAATTTCTTTTCTAGACAGCAAAATCGGCAAAAAGGGCAGGGAAAAGTATCAGTTAGATCCTTCCAGGACATCTTGATGCAGGAGAGACAGAAGTTATGCCCACAGTTAATGGTCACTGGGTCTTTCAAGTAGTCTGAACAGATGGGACAGCTAGCCCCTGCCTGGAAGTCTGCCAAGGCTGTCACAAACTCCATTGAGCTGTGAACAAAGGAGGTGGCGGGTAAGGTAATGTGTCCGTTAGTGTGGCCTGGCTCCAGCCTCAAGACCCAGTAAGCAGTGGATATCCTGCCCCAGACCGCACGAACTGACCAGCTTTCAGTTTCACTGGCTTGGCCTGTTGATAGCAAAAACTTGTTTATCCCTCTCCCCTTAGCTGTTGCCAAGTACACACCACAGGCTGCAGTCTATTGCGTATTAGAACATATTAGCTGGGCTGCTGCTCTTCCCACTGGATGATGTGAAGTCAAGCTTAATGGCTTTCTTTTAGCATTGGGTCCAGGACAAGAATCCTTCCTATGGATGAGAAAAGACATCAAATTAAAAATATGGTCCCAGAATCACCAACGTAATAAAATATTCACACAGGAATCATCAATGAATGCAAAAACCACTGGGTGAAAGTCCTTGGAAAAACAAGAACTCATAGTTGTAGAGATTCACCCCACACATTTCGATTAATCAAAAACAAAAATAGGGAACAGACTGACCTTATATGCTTCCTGATGTGATGCAATAATAAGCACATAACACTGCCTATAAAATATTCTTGCCTAAAATATTCCATTTTGATCTAATCAAAAAAATGTTCCAGATTTAAGACTATAGAAGTATGACAAATAAAATGTGCAAGCTCTGATTGAATCTGATACCTAAAAGTTAAAAAACTAAAAGAGCATTTTTGGGACAAATGTGCGAATTTTAGTACAGATATCATTATTGTATCAGTATTAAATTGTGTTTAATTTATCACATTAGTTTATCATAAGAACATAGGTAAAATGTCCTTGTTCTTAAGAAATACATACTGATAGCTCTGGCCTGGTAGCTCAATTGGTTAGAGAGTCATCCCAAATGCCAAGGTTGAGGGTTCAATCCCCAGTCAGGGCACATACAAGAATCAATCAACAAATGCATAGATAACTGAAACAACAAAGTGATGTTTCTCTCCCTTTCTAAAAATCAGTAAATAAAAATTTGTAAAAATGGTGGCTGCAACTTAATTTCAGAAAGTTTAATAATTTAAAAATGTTTATACAGAAGGTCCTTGAATAACATTGTTTTGTTCAATGTTGTGTTGTTATAATGTTGATGAGATGCCACAGGAACTTAACTCATAGTTATCAATTTTATCAATTAGCCTATAGTAAAACTGGTTTTGTTATACAACATTTTGCTTCAAGTCATAGCACCAACAACAACATTAAGTGAGGACTTACTGCATAAATAAGAGAAAAAGCAACTATAGAAAAGGTTAATTGTTAAATCTAGGCAAAAAGTATATACTTTATATCTGTGTTTACTGCAATCCATTCAACTTTTCATAGTTTTGAAAATTTCAATACAAAAAGTTAGGGAGAAAATTTCCTGGCTTGTTTTCAAGATACCCACCAACAATCAATTTTAAGCCAAATTCCTCCAAGCTTGTAAACCACCCAATCATCAATACAGTCTTCTTTCTTTCCCTTCTCCCTACACCAGTACTTTCTCAACTTTTGCTTTTCCTTTCCCTTTCCTCATAACCCAAAGACAGTGAGAATAATGTGGGCATGGCTTTGACATTTGAAATTGGCCTTGTCTTGGTGACCTAGCAAGTTTTTACTACACAGACTTTCTCTTCCTACTAGCAGAATAGGAAAAATGCAGTAGTCCTACAAAGTCTCCATTGATAAATTATTCCCAGATTCAAAGCTGGACTCAGTATCTTGGGCCTGCAGAAATAAAAGCTATTATAACAACACGCTTGGGAGGCAGTGTTTCACAACGTTAAGGGCTAACATTATGAAAAGGATACTAGGTTTGACTTCTGGTTATTTACTGTGTATTTTTTAGGAAAAGTGCATGTATGTGTTTTGAATACCATTTCTCTGACCTATAAAATGACGACGAGGACCTTTTAAAATAAGGATATCATATAAATGCCAACTAATATATGCCTACTGTTCTTGGCCAATGAGGAGCTTTCTATTTTAGATTTATTTGAATATGGATCAAAATATAACCCCCACATTGCATTTGATTATTTCTCTGAAATATCCCTTGCCTCTCCACTTTTGTCCTATAGACTATCTCAAGTTTTTATAGACCCCCACTCCCCTCCCCACCACCACACACACAGTGGTACTATGGCACTTCTCAGTTATTTTGTTCTGGGACTCGTTACAAGTACTGAAACCAATGAGTACCAAGTGATGAAGCACTTCCTCTTGGGGGTGGCGTTGTGACTCATATAAGGTCTAGCAAGTATGAGTCCCGAGCAAGCGCCAAGTGCCAAAACATTTTTTTCTCATCAAAATATGACAAGTACTGGGTGTGACGAGACCTGAAGGTGACAAGTACCAAGGTATGACTTTATATATATACTTTTATAAACTATCTCAAGTTTCTTATCATTCAGAGTCCTTCATACATCATCATCTTCATCTGGCTATGATCCTCCCCCTAAAGCACTTGGCCTTTATTTTTTAGAAACTATTATCCATCAGCCCTATTTCCAGTCATGCTGTTCTTCCTCTTCACAAACCACACTGCTTATTCTTCCCTCACTTCTTTCCTAGGACTAAGTTTTGCTCCTTTGGGAAGCGCAGACCAAGAGAAATGCTCTCCAAGATGGTTTATTATGTGTTAGGCATTAAGCTAAGAACCTTTCATACAGCCACTGAGTCAATTAAGCTCTCAGAACAACCTTACAATTAATGAGCTATTACCCTCAATGCGAACTGTAAAGCTGAGTCTACAATAATTTGAGTACGCTTACACAACATTACATTAATTGGCATAACCACTGGCATGATACTCAGTCACTAAGCTATACTGCCCCTTCTTCACTCCCACAGCATTCTATTCATCTCTCTACATCTATTTTAAAGCACCACATAATTTTTGTATTGATGTGTTCATATTTATTCATATTTGATAACATTCCAAAAAAAGGGGATAAACAAAGGCTTATTGATTCTGGGAGTATAACAATGAAACAGATATAACACAAACTAAGAGTTAGCAATACCTGACAGACTGAGTTTTCATCCAACCTTGGTCAAATCAACTTCTGAGCTTCAGTTTTTTCACAAAGTGATATCTATCATTGAGAAAATAATGTAAGGCACATGTCATGGAGCTGGCATTTATTAACACATGTACAATAAAAAGTAAGACTATCTCATAAAATCTCAAAAGCTCTTAACAAATCTAGCCAAATCCACATACTTATATTATACCATAAAAATGTTACTTTGTTACATTATATTTTACATGGGTTTATTTACTTACATATAAAAAGCACTACTGATATTTAACCTAAAACTGCTATATCTGGTATAGCTGTTAAATCCTCAGTGACTAGTAAAGGCATTAACTTCCACCAGGGTCATTGTAGTAAGACAATGCAGAAAATTTCCTACACTAATGGAGGTGCAGGAGACAAGTTTCAGAATTTTAAAACACATTTAATTTTATTCAGCTTTTAATAAATTCCAACACAGAACTACATCAGATAAAGCATAAGTCTCTTCCAAGCCACTCTCCCTATTAGCCCACACTCTGTATAATGCTTTGGTGACTTTCAGTCCTTGCACCACAGTCATGCCTTGCATAACAATGTTTTGATCTAAGAAGAATCACATATGCTATGGTGGTCCCATAAGATTATAATGGAGCTGAAAATTTCCTATCACCATAGCATAAGACATTACACAAGTATCATTGTCATAACTGTCTATAGTCTTCAATACAGTAACATGATGTACATACAGGTTCATAGCCAAGGCACTGTAGGGGAACAGAATTTGTCAGGCCAAAATATGCCTCTTTGGCATAGGATTATTGTAGGCTGGTTAATTTTAAGAAAGAGTACACTCGGGAGAAGCTCAGAAAAACCAAGTAAGTTACCCTTTGTAAGACATTTACATTTGTAGGGGAAACCTCCATTTGTAAGCACATCTCCCCAGGCAGGACCAGAAAGAGGGATGTGACTTTATCTCTAGGAACTCTTATCAGTGCAGAAGACAATGCCTTAAATCTGCATAATAATGATACCCTCATTTATTGTGCTTCTCCCAGTAATTCTTTTACTGTACCCTCCTGTAACTGACTCCCCCCACCATCTTTTGTCTTCAGTTTAAGATAATATTTAAGGTGGTGTTTTCTGTTATTTCAGTGTGTTTTACTCAGTTTTCCTGGGTCTCTCCCATGTATGCAGGACGTAAACATATTTAGAAAGATGGAGACTGCATGGGATTGGACATGAGGTTGCACAGAGTAGTGAGAAATTAGCCAACTAAGACTGAAGGATGTTTTAGGAAACTTGCTCAGCTGACATTATGCAGCTAGTAAATTGCAGAGATAATAGGAAAACTAAAATCAAAGGAAAAAATATATAACTGTTAAGAAAGTATGCACACACACATACAAAGGATTCTAGTGCTGCATAAGGAACATAGTAGGTACTCACTCCAGGTATCATTGTGCGCTCCATCTCCCAAGCGCTTATACAAATCATTCTTTCCTACTTTTCAGAATCAGGCCATTAAAAAAAGACCATGAAGTGAACACAACTAGTTTTACGGGCACTGCTACCATTCTAGCTCAAGCTACCCACATCTCTTGCCTGGGTTACAGTGTGAGCTCTTTTCTACCCTAAAACACAATGGTGCCTCCCATCAATTGCCTAACTGTGGCTAAACTGACCTTTGGATTGCTGCGCCACACCCCCAGTTTCTGATTCAGCTGGTGTGTAGTATTTCTAAGAAGTTCGCAGGTGATGCTGCTGGCCTCAGAACTTTCCTTTGTGAACCACTGCTTAAAGAAAATTAAAAAAAACAACAACTGGTACATTCCTAGCCCTCCGTTTCAACCACTGTCATACAGGATGATTCTTAACATGCCTGGGCCTAAACCAGCTCATCTGTAAATTTGTAATGATAATCCTTAACTGTAAGAGATCTGTGAGGATTAAGGGATGTTTAAATTGGCCAGG